CGATAGGGACTAATTTCCCACTGGGATCAGCTTCATAGTCATGGTAGGCCACTTCTTTGATTTTACTTTGGAACATCTTTTGGCAATCAATCTATTAAGATTAGGAACAAAACCTCACAAAACATTGCAAGTGAATATCTGAATCCTTTCAATTTAAGTATTTCTTTTATTCAAATTGAATTAATTAAATTGAAACAGCTGAAATAATTTTCAAAATCTAAAAAAAAATTACAAATTCAAATACATTCAAATTAAACTGAAAATTAAATAAGTGTTGTAGTCTGTGATCACTCATATGCCTTTCCACATCCTACTGGAGTTGCTGCTGTCGTGGAATGCAATTTAATTCAATTCAGTTTATTTATATAGCGCCAATTCACAACACATGTCATCTCAAGGCACTTTACAGTTCACCAGATTATACAGTCAAATTAATTAAAAGTTTTCTATCTAAGGAAAACCAGTTGATTGCATTGACTGATTGACTCGAAAGCAAGCCCTCACACTAAGCATGCTTGTAGCGACAGTGGAGAGGAAAAACTATTTTAACAGGAAGAAACCTCCAGCAGAACCAGGCTCAGTGTGAGCGGCCATCTGCCGAGGGCGACTGGGGTTCGAGGAGACAGAAGCAGGGATACAAAAAGCAACTGTAAAAGGCGGCCTGTCCAGGAAACACACAGCTAGGCAGATGAGCTCAGAGCCAACTCCCATGTCAGAGGATGAAGAGAGCACATCCAGTAACTGGCAACAGCTGCTGGAAACAGGAAGTTAACAGGAAGTTGTCCATCTTTTAAAAGCTCTGCCGAAGGGTGCGCCTTCAGAGGGGAGTAGTTCCAGCTACATCAGCGAGACTTGATAACAACACTGGTCACAGGAGTATTGCCTAGATCGGGCATCAGGTTGGCTGTTTTTTTTGGAGCCTGGACAGTTAGAGAAGATGAAGTTAAAGGGAAATTTGAGAAAGGACTGCACCAACCCCTCAATCAGAGGCATCAACTTCAAGTACAAACAGTTTCTCTGGATCTGGCTAAATCAGAATCAGGGGATTGAAAAACCTTTTCTTGGGCTATGAAGAAGCCCTTTCGGCTTCAGATGTCCAAATTAAATGTCTTATGGAGGAGATAAGTCTAGGGAGGATTTGAGCAGTTTGACTGTAGTTTTAATGAATCTGCAGTGGAAGTTGGCAAATTCTAAAAAAAAAATAGCAGCTTGCGAGTTGAGGGAGTAGGCCTATTGAGAGTTGATAAAAACTGTCTCCGGATATGTCTTCATCTGCCACCTCTCGAAAATGTGTCCCAAAAACGTAATTGATATGGGACAATCATATTGAAACTATCACTTCAGTAGTGACCAGAAAATAGACGACCCAGAATTCTACCAAAAACACAAGGTAATTTTTTAACAGTATATTGGAATGTGAAACTGACGCAGGTCAGAAGACATTTACTAGAGTCAGCATCCGGAACTTCTTCTCGGTGTATGAGAATAAACTTTCAGATTTTGAAGATGCTGGTTGGCGTTTGATGTTACTGGGGAACATCAGAGGATTCCAGAATCTGTCCAGGCTGATTTGAAGGAATCCCTCTTTGACAGTTAATTGTTTGTCCAAGAAATTGCACAGGGTCAGGCCGCTAGAACAGAGACAAGCAGAACAAAGGCACAAACCAGAGTTCGGGGTCCAGGAACAGGTCCAGAGTCAAAGCTAGGTGGATCTGACCTCTAGAGACAATCCAGGAAGGAATCCGAGAGCAAGATCAGGGTACAGAAAACAAGTCAGAAATCCAAAAACACGCTATGACAGGTCTGATAGGGTTCAGGCAAGCTTAGAGAATCAGGCAGGCAGGTAACAGGAATGTTGGATTAAACGCACCGGTGGCTTGTAATAACCTGGCACCAGGGACTGGTCTGAGAGCTGGTTATATAGTCAGGTAAGCAGGTGAATCGGATGGAGGCTAATTGGAAACAGGATGGAGCTGATTATGACAACCTCTCATCTTTGACAAAGAGTTGGCTCTCTACAATACGTTGGAGAACTTGAAACGTTGATCTTGAGTTCAAATAAGGTCCTGGAGAAAATCTGGATATCATCCAGATATTCAAAATGACCTAGGAGGTCTTGATTGCAGTTTTCCATTCATCTCCTTCTCTGATTCTGACCAGGTGGTAGGTATTTCCAACATCCAACTTGGTGAAGAAATGTGAGATTCACAAGAAGATTTTTAGCAAGAAAGATATTCCTGGTTTATGTCTTTGGCCAGAATACCATCAGGAGTAATCATTTCGCAAAGTGAGATACGATCATACGTGCTAATCATCTTGACAGAAAAATGTTTTGAGGTGTGCAGCAAAAGGGTCAGACCAGCCACCCGCAAAGATCCTATCTGTGACAGGAAGCTCACTGGCACCAGAAACAGCAAAATCCCAGAGACCCTAAAAGAATTAGCACAAGCAGTTTTTCCAAGCTGTTCTTTGTTGGAAAATTGATCAAAATAACATGCTCACAATTATTACTCTGTTGTCATTTTTTTCTGGCACTTTTGCATGATGTAGGAAAACATGTAACACAGGGATACATGTCGATAATCTTACCACTTGCTATATATTTGGGCTCCACGGAGAGGGGGGGAGAGAAGCAGAAAAAAAAGAGCACTGAGGGTAAGTTGAAAAAGTAATCCATCAACAGTTGCAGGCAGCAGCTCTCCCCACTTCCCGATGTCGTGTTGTTTTTGGAGCACTGTAACAGATTACCATCACCAGTAAGCTGTACTCTATTGTCTCAGAACTCAAACCTTAACCTGTGCTTTTTTATACTTGACGCAATTCATCACAACGGACCCACTGCAATGGAACGCAACACAACATAATGCTACATTCTCTGAGGAAATGAGAAGCATGGGACATTGATGGCACAGCATTGTCAGCATTTTATAATCTGTGTGATTACTTATTATTCTGGCAGGGGTTGTAGGGCCAAGACCGATTTAAAGAGTAAGGATGGAATTTTACATGATACCATACTGTGCTACTGTATCTTTAACCCCTGAACTTGTCTAGACATTTTTTTTTTTTACACAGATCTGCTCTTAGAATGTGTTGGTTATATTATATACATTATAAATGTAAAGGTTATTGCTTTAGCTTTTTTCTCCCTGCTGTATACATTCATCCCATCAGAATCATCCTCTTGTTTGTTTCAGTGTAATCATCTTGTTTTGAGGCAGAGGGTCAAACCAGTTCGGTTCAGTCAAAGAAAACACACTTTTACACTCAAACCCACACAGGAGGCCCACACAAAGCTACTCATAAACAAAGATTAGATTTTGATTCACGCACAGTCCTGTTTCATAGGTCTTATCTGACCTGCCTCTCCTCAGATCCCCTCCTGTGCTTTGAAAGCGTCTCTGATAAGTGAGACCTAAGCAGGAGGCGATGAGGAGATGGTTGAGGTTTAATGAAGAGACAGATAAGGTAGGGAGGGTGAAAAGGAAGGAGGTTGTAGGAGGAGATGATGTGTATGTTTGTGTGTGTTGGTATATCTGTGCTGTGTCCATGGCAGCAGTGGACACACACTGAGGAGGCAGATTGGAGAAGGGCGACACAGAGCACATCCACTCTTCACCCAGAAGTGGAGAAGAGGAGGGGGGGCGGCGATGAAGAACGGGAGACAGATAACTGCAAAGACAAGAAAGTGAGATGGCTGTGTGTGTCTGACGGGATCAGTTAAACTATCACCATGTTTTCTCCTGACAGACGCGCGCACACACACCCCAACACAATGATCAATCACCACTTAGCAAACCCAACCCTCTCATTGTGTTTTTAAAGCCCAGCACCAACTGGGAAGAGATGCAACTGCTCTATTTGCCTCTATTTATCTTCCTTTCTTTGTCATTTATTCTGCTTATCATAATTGATATTAAAATATATTATTTTAGACTGAAAATATTACCTGGAAAATAACCAAAAACAATCCTATCTAACCTCTCATTTTCTGTCTTTTGATCGTTCCTGCAGTAAACTGCATTAAGCTTGACTTGTTTGGGCGAATAATATGTGAAGCACAGGGAAATGAGGGCTGTAAAACTACATCTACATTAATTGATGAGACAATATACAATACAATATACAATACTTTGCAAATGACTATATTTTAATAAATCCCTATATTAATATATAATATTTTGTTATAATGCAATTTATTTATTAAAACCATGCACAAAGTTGAGTTTTGCTTAGTCTGTCTTCTTTAGAAGTGTTGGGATCTGGAGCTGTACCACCTTCCTCCAGCAGAGTTCGCCGTGGGTCCTCCTGAGCTGAGCTCCCAACACACCTGTGGCCCATCTCATCATCATAGGATCCACCACTATATAACCTGCCTTCAGACCTTGCCTCAACGCCGCAGTGTTGATCTAGTTTGGTTAGCACCTGAGCCTAGTAAACCTGAGAATCTTTGCTATCTCTGGCTGAGATAAGATTCTAACCTGCCGAGCCTACCCTCGTGAGCCAAACCTGAAGACCCTTCTCTGGATTCCCCCACAGCTCTTGGTTAAGAGCTGGAAACCCAAAACCAAGGTCTGCCCTCATAGTCAGAAGTAAGACGCTCAAGCAGTTATTGGACTCTGCTGAACAAACAGTCTCTGGATCCAACAGTAACCTCTCTCTTAAAGAGAAACCCAGACTCCTTCAAGGTATTCTTCAGCTAACTCAAAGTCTCATAACTCATCTGTCCCTGCGCTAACTGAACTATCATCTCTGCAGACTCCAGTGAACCTGCCCCCAGGCCTGAACCAGTTCCAGTTGAAATATTCATGTGCTTGTGCAACAATAAACCTTGTTAAACTTTTCATCAGCTTCCGTTTGTGTTCTGCATATTGGGCTTACTCTGTAACCAATCATGACAAGAAGCCTCTTTCTGTCCTATGAGAACGAGTGTATGGAAAGTATCTATGTAGAGCTACATGCCCCTGGAAGCATGAGCAGAACGTCATGACGCTGGTGTTGAGGTATATTACCAACATGGAACTAAATCAGTGGGCTAAACCATCTCCGTTGCCACCTGAACTACCCCTTTGTTCTTGTCCACAATGGAACTACCCCCACGTTACTCACAGCACGGACCAATCAGCCGATGCGCAGACAGGAAGTGCCCGCACGTCATCCATGGGTTAAAAAGCGCAGCGCGAAAAGACTCTCTCTCTTTTTCCATGGGTTTGCAGCCCGTCAGGAGAGGCCCATTTCACGTGAAATATCAGAAGAAAGCTGACTGGAAGTAGCTTTCGTTTTCCTGCATCGAAAGTCACGGATCGCAGTGTTCCATCGTGCATAGCAACAGCGCTGACTGGGAGATAGAAACCCTTTGAAGCTGACCGCGGAGTTTCGTTCTCCCCTTTTCTTGGACCAATCGGTTAAGAGGACGCTCTTGCCGATCACCTCCTAAGATCACCTCCTAAGATCACCTCCTGAAATCCCTTCCTTCCAACTCGTGAGCAGATCAACCCCTCTGCTGCGGCCCGAGCTGACTGAACTTTCCCGAGGGGCGGACCGGTGGCAGAGAAGCGCTGCCCGACAGAAACCAAGCTGCGGTTGCCGTGGAAACGCCAACCTCCCTCGGACGACGCATCTCACAGTAAAATCGATTTACCTTCTTTTGATGCATCAGAATTGCTGTGCTCAGGCGAGAGAAAGGCAGTTTAGGGTTTTTAATTAATGCTGATGTTCTTTTTTTTATCTGTGCTGATTAAGGGTTTGTTTATTTGGTTAAAATAAGTGTGTGCTTTTTCTTTCTTTCTTGGCTTTCCTGTCGTCTCCGTTGTTTCTGCTTTGAGATAGAGATAAAGTTATCACGTTCAGCCACGTGGGGTCCCGTGGTCGCCGCCATCTTGATCACAGGTCGCCCCCCCCATTTCTCTTTGTTCCCCTCACCGCGTGGAGAACAAAGGGGGGTGGTCCCCATTTAGCCACAACCATTGACACACATCACTACATTGCCAGGCAAAAAGGGTTTTTGCTGAACGCTGCTATTGTTAATACGTGTTCAATAATTTACCAATACTAAGCTGGATGTATTAATGTTCATGATCGATTGCACTGTTATCATTACACCTGCTGCTTGTTAATGCAATTAATCATTTGCTGATTTTAAGTTGGATGTATTAGTTTACACTGATCAATTGCACTATACCTGCTGCTAGCGGACATTAATGAATGTATTAATATCTGGCGTATTTTAGACAATTTCAGACGCCAGTAATAGTTATTCCGTTGTTTCTATCTCGTTTAATTCTTTATTTTCGATTTGTCTTTTATTTCTCTTTTGAACTAGTCATTTAATCTACCTCGTGTTTAGTTTTCTAGTAGTGTGTAGTGTTTGCATAGATGTTAGATTTCTGTAATCCTGAATTATTAGAATAAAGACATCATTGGTTAATCTGTAGTGGTTTTGGTCGTTCATATAACGGAGGGTTAATCACTCAGAGTAACTCGATTCCTTGGGTAATAGTGCGAATAAACAGAGATAGAAGGTTCTTTATTGATAATTTAATAGCTTTGCTGATAACTTAACCGGGGCCACTAGACTGGTGGATACCTGGATTTTAACAGCCGGTCCCGGAACCCTCCAGTTTTGGATCAACAACCGGTAAGTAGATAACTCAGGGCTATAATTATCCACCTAAGAACACTAAATTGATTTTGGCCTTCGATGTTGAATAGGATAATAATTAACTATAACTCCAGTTCTAGTTAACCATCTATTCATTATCTGCAGGACATTATTTTTGCACAACATATTGGCGTTGTCCCTGGGTGGGCCTGAGATTGAAACTTCCGTTATATGAATAACAGATAAATCACCCAGAAATTAAAAACAGCTAAAAGCGCTACTACTGCTAAAATAGACCGGGTGTATTTGTGGTGTTGCAGTGACGGAGTCCAGCGGGTTTGAGTAGATTTAACGGCCAGTTAATTGAATCTCAGACTTATAATCCAATAGAGAATTGGTGATTTGGGACTTCAGCTGCGTTGTTTGTTGGTTGCTGCTATTCTGAAGCCGTGAGATCAAATTGTGGATTGGTGCAGCACAAAAGGGTTTTTAAAGTCACAGCGACTGGGTCAGTGTAGGCCACGTTGGCAGAGATTGTCATCTCCCCCTAGTGGTAGCTTATGTAATTACAATTACTCAGCTGGTTCCAGTGTTTGAGACCCAAATTGTGTAGTGCTCTCTTTGGTGCCATCTAGTGGCGTAAGCGTGTTATTGCAACAACAGTTTGAAAATTCCCAGGCGAAGGCACCTTGTCTCCCCCTGGTGGTGGCTTCTGAAATTGCAGCTGAATGGTGTAGAGAAGGAGTGACTTGTTTTTTTTTTCTCTTCTTAAATTTTATTTTTCTTTCTTTCATGCTGTTTCACTATTGCTTTCTGTGCTGTGGACAAACAGTGTTTTAACAATTGGAGAGTGGTTAAACTTAAACTGCAGGTATAAAGAAACAAAACCTCAGGTTTAATTGTGCAGCTGCTGCCACCTTTTACCACTTCTGCCAGGTTTTCTAACACTGCGTTATCCATTTTGTGTGCAAGAGTTGTTTGTTAACAGTGTTTTACACATATATACATACACACGCACACATCTATACACATATACACACTTTTGAACCAGCCAATCTTACTTACTGAAAGGTGAGTGAATCAAACCATTAGAAACCCACAGATTTAAAAGCAAATCGGCAACCTGTCAAATTAAAGAGGAGGTCGCACGTTGAAAGCAACCTGCGTATTGTTTTATCCGCACGTTCTACACCTGCCGTATAGGTAACGAACCTATAGTAAACGGAGCGTGTTTGTTTAGTGCGTGTAGTGCTAACACGGTTAGCGATTTGTAGCCAGTGCGCTGCGTTTCCTGCTTTGTGTTCCCCCCCCCTAGCGAATCAAATGGATAGGGATCAGGATCAGCAAGCAGTGGGAGCTTCTGCGGCATCCATCGAAATGGACGCCCAGAACTTAATAAGCTCATTGATTTCGTTGTCAGAAGACAAACACAGAGCCCTTGGTAGTTTGGATCTAGAGGCTTGTGAAAGCGAGATTGAGAAGCTAATGGAGTCAACTAAGAAGCCAGGGAAAGAGATGCTTATTGCAAACGTGCTTGGTCAACTTGCGTTGCTGTATCAGAGGAAGTCCCAGTTAGAAACAGAACAGCGCGTGAAGGCCGAAAAACTGCGTGCAGAAGCCGAAAAACTGCGTGCAGAAGCCGAAGAAATGCGTGCAGAAGCTGAAGAAATGCGTGCAGAAGCTGAAGGAAGGGCAAGAAGAGCAGAAGAGGATAGGATGGTGACCTCTAACTTCCTGGAAGAACGGCAAAGGGGGGTTGCTCCCTGCCCACAGGATGAAGGGTCAGACGAGGGGTCAGACGAAGAGTCAGACGAAAGATCAGAAGAAGAGAAGATCAGAACAGAAGGTTCTCTTAAGAGAGAAGAAAGTGAACCCATCCCTGCTTTAGATACGTTGGATAAATGGGGTACCAGGGGAGATCCTCCTCTGGCAGCCACAGAGCAGAGAGCTAGCATGAGGGAGCAGGGAAGGTTCGGTAGTGTAGTGCGTAGTTCCACAGAGCAGAGAGCTAGCATGAGGGAGCAAGGAAGGTTCGGTTGTGTAGTGCGTAGTTCCACAGAGCAGAACAGCTTTAGACCGCAGAGGATGCCGGACCTGAGCGGCATGCCAGGTCCTAGTTATAGAGCGACAAGCAGGTCAGACCAAACGCGAAGCACGATCTGCTATGACACACCCTTGCCACAAAGGCAGCTGTACGACCAACCATGGGACACTGATGAGCGACCCCGCACTGAGCCGCGGCCATGGCCTAGCGGCTATGGAGCAACAGGCCCACCAGTGTACCATGAGCGGTCTCACCCGCCTCCAAGGAGGTCAGAGCAGAGCTTTCCACCCTACCGCGACCGTAGCTGGCTAGAGCTCTCAGATGAGGATTCAGATGGTCCAGCCCCAGTCCCAGAACAGGGATTACGGATGCGACAACTCGAATCCCTCGCCCACGACATAGAACGTTTTGACCCCAGCAACACGGAATCCACCATTGAGGACTACCTTAGAGAGGTAGAACGCTGTCTTTTAGACTTACCTCGTCCCTCCGCCCGGGAAAAGTTAAAGCTAATATGGAAGACGACCTCAAGGAGCGTGCATGTGTTCATAGAAAGCCTTAGGCCCGCGATCCGAGACACTTATTCCTCTCTTTGTCAAGCACTGAGAGAGGAATACTCTGTACACACTGATCCAGGCTCTGCGATGTTCAGTGCTTTCGGCATACAACAGAAAAGAAATGAGTCGCCGAGAGAGTTTTACCGTCGTTTACGAGCTGCATATTTTCAGGGGCGGAGCGCCCCTGGACAGGAGGAAGACCACACGTTAAGATACCTGTTCCTTCACAATCTCCATGAGAGCATCAAATACGATGTTACTATGTACTGCCGAACCAGAAACCTTACCATGCAGGAAATAAAGAAGTATGCTCAGATGGCATGGGAAACACATGCTCGGGTCAACAAGGAAACTGACCGGAGCAATAGGGTTTTACAGGTCAGAGCCGAAGCAGGTAAGGACCTAGAACTGGAGGGAAGAGAGATTCCCTCCTCTGACAACAGATTCAGGAACGAATCCAAGGGACGTCAGAAGTTCAACCCACAGGAGAAGAAAGGGAGGATGAGAGAAAGATGGAGTCGAGACGGAAAAGAAGGTAAGGAGTCCAATGTGAGAGTTAAACCAGACAGAGCGAAGTCTGACAGCCACCCTGAAAAGAAGGTAAGGCCTAAGAATGCAGACCAGAAAGGACAACAACAGATGATGAGGGAAATGGAAGCCGCCTTACGCAGACTACTTACAGAAACGGTGCAACAGATGACCAACACATCCCAGCCGCCAACAAATCCCACCGATACCCGAAACAAACCAAACCCAAAACCTCCGTCCGCATGACTAGGCGTGGATTCAGACCCATCCAACAAAAGGGTCTACCGAATTGAGTGGGGAGCACACCCCCTCAAACCAGGTGAATCCTCCGAAACTCCATTACACAAAACACCGTTCTTGAAGTTCTTGGGTGAGCTCCATCTCACTAAAAACGCACGTCGCCTTTATTGTTCTGCCATAATAGGGGGATGCGTCACTGCTGATGCTCTTCTGGACACAGGTTCAGAAATTAGTCTTCAGGTAACACAGAGTACATGTCAGACTTAATAATATTACTTTAGTGATAGTTTCAAGGTGTTTGCTTTATTGTATATCTCGTACCATGTTTTTTTGGTTGTGCTGTTCTTTTTTTTTTTTTTTTTTTCTCCATCTCATTACAGGTGTTGAAGCAGACTGAAAATGTTTTGTCATTGTCTCCTTCCTATCTCCTCTTTCTTTCATCTTTTGTCCTGTTTTTTTCTTTTTCTTTTTCCTTCTTCTTCTTCTGTTTTTCTGCTCTACTTACATTGCAGTGTCCATATGAACTGTAAAACTCCCTGCATAATTATAATAAAGCAATTTATATACATGAAACAAGTGGAGCGGTATGGCAATTGCGATACCGCTACACTTGTGAAAGTAAAATCTGTTGGGCTCCTTTTGGCATCAAGACAATT